AAATCTAGAATTGTTCCCCAGCCACATGCTATTACGTACAGTGAGGGAAAAAAGTATTTGATCCCCTGCTGATTTTTGTACGTTTGCCCAGTGACAAAGAAATTATCAGTCTATAATTTTAATGGTAGGTTTATTTGAACAGTGAGAGACAGAATAACGACAACAAAAATCCAGAAAAACGCATGTCAAAAATGTTATAAATTGATTTGCATTTTAATGAGGGAAATAAGTATTTGACCCCTCTGCAAAACATGACTTAGTACTTGGTGGCAAAACCCTTGTTGGCAATCACAGAGGTCAGACGTTTCTTGTAGTTGGCCACCAGGTTTGCACACATCTCAGGAGGGATTTTGTCCCACTCCTCTTTGCAGATCTTCTCCAAGTCATTAAGGTTTCGAGGCTGATGTTTGGCAACTCGAACCTTCAGTTCCCTCCACATATTTTCTATGGGATTAAGGTCTGGAGACTGGCTAGGCCACTCCAGGACTTTAATGTGCTTCTTCTTGAGCCACTCCTTTGTTGCCTTGGCCGTGTGTTTTTGGTCATTGTCATGCTGGAATACCCATCCACGACCCATTTTCAATGCCCTGGCTGAGGGAAGGAGGTTCTCACCCAAGATTTGACGGTACATGGCCCGTCCATCGTCCCTTTGATGCGGTGAAGTTGTCCTGTCCCCTTAGCAGAAAAACACCCCCAAAGCATAATATTTCCACCTCCATGTTTGACGGTGGGGATGGTGTTCTTGGGGTCATAGGCAGCATTCCTCCTCCTCCTCCAAACACGGCGAGTTGAGTTGATGCCAAAGAGCTCCATTTTGGTCTCATTTGACCACAACACTTTCACCCAGTTGTCCTCTGAATCATTCAGATGTTCATTGGCAAACTTCAGACGGACATGTTTATGTGCTTTCTTGAGCAGGGGGACCTTGCTGGCGCTGCAGGATTTCAGTCCTTCACGGCGTAGTGTGTTACCAATTGTTTTCTTGGTGACTATGGTCCCAGCTGCCTTGAAATCATTGACAAGATCCTCCCGTGTAGTTCTGGGCTGATTACTCACCGTTCTCATGATCATTGCAACTCCACGAGGTGAGATCTTGCATGGAGCCCCAGGCCGAGGGAGATTGACAGTTCTTTTGTGTTTCTTCCATTTGCGAATAATCGCACCAACTGTTGTCACCTTCTCACCAAGCTGCTTGGCAATGGTCTTGTAGCCCATTCCAGCCTTGTGTAGGTCTACAATCCTGTCCCTGACATCCTTGGAGAGCTCTTTGGTCTTGGCCATGGTGGAGAGTTTGGAATCTGATTGACTGATTGCTTCTGTGGACAGGTGTCTTTTATACAGGTAACGAGCTGAGATTAGGAGCACACTCTTAAAGGGAGTGCTCCTAATCTCAGCTTGTTACCTGTATAAAAGACACCTGGGAGCCAGAAATCTTTCTGATTGAGAGGGGGTCAAATACATATTTCCCTCATTAAAATGTAAATCAATTTATAACATTTTTGACATGCGTTTTTCCGTATTTTTTTGTTATTCTGTCTCTCACTGTTCAAATAAACCTACCATTAAAATTATAGACTGATAATTTCTTTGTCAGTGGGAAAACGTACAAAATCAGCAGGGGGTCAAATACTTTTTCCCTCACTGTAGACACGCACGCTATTCACCAGCCAGAGGCGCTATTCCCCAGATACGTGCTGTTCCCCAGCCACGTGCTGTTACCCAGCCATGCACGCTGTTCCCCAGCCAGGCACGCTGTTCCCCAGCCACGAGCGCTGTTGCCCAGCCAAGCACGCTGTTCCCCAGCCAGCCACGCTATTACCCAGCCACGAGTGCTGTTAGACAGACACGCACGCTGTTCCCCAGTCACGAGTGTTGTTCCCCAGCCATGCGCTGTTACCCAGCCACATGCGCTGTTCCCTAGCCAGGCGTGCTATTCCCCAGCCACGCGCTGTCATCCAGAAATGCATGCTGTTCCTCCGCCAGAAGCGCTGTTGCTCAGCCCCGTGTGCTATTCCACAGCCACGTGCGCTGTTACCCAGCCACGCGCACTGTTCTTCAGCTATGCACGCTGTTCCCTAGCCACGTGCGCTGTTACCCATCCACGCATGCTGTTACCCAGCCACGCACGCTCTTTCCCAGCCAGGCACGCTCTATCACAGCCAGGCACGCTGTTCTCAAGCCAACAGGGCTGTTACCCAGCCATGCACGCTCTTACCCAGTCACTAGTGCTGTTACTCAGCTGCTCGTGCTATTCCCCAGCCACGTGCTGTTACCCAGCCACGCATGCTATTCACCAGCCAGACGCGCTATTCCCTAGCTACGTGCTGTTACACAGCAATGCACACTTCCTCAGTATCGCACGCTATTCCCTTGCCACGCATTCTGTTACCCAACCACGCGTGCTGTTACCCATCCATGTGCGCTGTACTTCAGCCACTTGCGCTGTTCATCAGCCGCGCGATGTTCCCCAGCCACGAGTGCTGTTACCCAGCCACGCACGCTGTTCCTCCACCAGGAGCCCTGTTGTTCAGCCACGCGTGCGGTTCCACAGCCACGCGCTGTCCCCCAGCCACACACTGTTATCCAGAAATGCACGCTGTTCCGCAGCTCGGCGAGCTATTACCCAGCCACGCGCTGTTATCCAGCCATGCACACTGTTCACCAGCCAGGAGCGCTGTTTCTCAGCCATGAGCACTGTTGACATCCACGAGCGCTGTTACCAAACCACACACTCTGTTCCTCAGCCATGCACGCTGTTCCCAAGATTAAAACGACCTGCCCCAGACACGAGCGCTGTTAACTAGACACACGCGCTGTTTCCCAGATATGTGCACTGTTCCCCAGCCATGAGCTCTGTTCCCTTCCAGGCCAACGAAGTGGCTTATGACTACATGGAAATTTATAGCAGCCAAATACTCTAAACGCGTGTTTCTAAATGTGGAGGGAAAAACTGGAGAAAAATCCACGCGACCACGGGGAGAACATACAAACTCCAAATATACAGCAGGCGTCAAGGGTCGGGATCGAACTCACGACCCTGTATGCCAGGCGAGGTAGTTAACATCTCGCAATGGTGGCGCTCGTCCGTGTAGTGCAGTAGTTCCCAACCATTGTGGGCCTGAGGACCACTGTCAATCACTAAAAAAAATTCCGTCTGAAAATGTTCCGTGGACCACTTCCCACGGCCTGTGATGAATATATATTGCTTCATGTCCCATTTGTCTCCCAGACACGTGAAAAACGCTTCTATCTTAAGTTCCCACCGTCACATCAACCGCTTCGTGACGATAAGATGCGCCCCTATTGTCTGGAACAAACCTTCACTGCTGTAACTTCTCCTTCTCCGTCTGTTTTGATTTATTTAAATGCATTCTCTTCTGGGATATTATTTTAAATTTCCATAAATCATGACTCATTTGTATATCGTGTTACTGGATTTGTTATTTCACTCACAGGCTTAAGACTTATTTATATAATTTAGCCTTATAAATGTATTCTGGCTTCCTACGATGATGATCTCACAGTTTGATTAAATTCTCACTCTTGTTTCGTATCTTTGTTGTTATTATTTTATGCGTCAGTTTAACACGTAGGCTTTCGCGACTAAAATCATCCATAATACAGGTTTTTTGAGTTAGATCAAGTAAATATATAAATGTGTTGTTAAACCCGACACCACCCGACACAGCCAATTAGTGAGGTTTGTCATGTAAACATAACATGCCAATTCGTTACTAGTGTAGTGTCGTCTCTCTTCTTCTTTCTCCCTCGAGGCTTGTGTGTGTGCGCGTGGCGTGCGGCACCCTTTCTCTTTTATTAGTTCACACCACAAACTCCGGCCTCCTCTCTCTCGACCACGCTGCCATATGGCCCGGCCCAGACACGACCCTGTCTGCATTGCACCGACGGCATCGACCGAGACAGCCAACTACTGTCCTGCCACGCAATGATCGGACGAAGGCGACGACGAGACGAGTTCACTCCCAGAACCGGCAGCCCGGAGCTCTCGCTCTCCGCTGCTTTTATTCCCCTCGGCGCGGTCTGGCTCCGCCCTGACCACGCCTCCCTTCTCAAACCAACTAGAGGGTTCCAGGGGCCTCCCTTTGAGGTCTACCGTGACCTTTGCCCCAGCTCCTCCGCCCTGCTGGTACCCACACCGTCTATATGCTCAATGGCGTGTGCGCTAAGTTTCCACTGCAGTTGCTGATGTACAGCAGTCGGCGCTGTGTCACTACACTAGTACAGCACACCGGTGTGTTGGAGAGCCAAGCCACAACATTTACAATCTGATTCTGACGTTTTGCCAGTAATCACAATCGATTTTAACGACACGTGTTACATCTGACGCATCAATCTGTATCTCAAACGATATCAAATCAAATCGTCTTGGAATGCACATATATCATGAATACATATGTTGTTAAAACATTATAATTGAAGCTTGTCATGCCGATTGAAGCATTTTACTATACAGGGTACAAAGAAAACACTCAACCATGCAATCAACAACAATCAACAGCGCATATTAAATGCAGACTTATCTTACTCTCAGCACGAATGTAATGTGAACTTCTTTCACACTGTAACAATCGGGAGGTACCTCAACTTTAGAACGCGCACCAGAGCTTCAGTGACTGGGCGCGTCCTCATGCCTGTCATCAGTGCCCCTACCTTATTATTACACACCAATTCAGACATCATTGGTCAGCCCGTCCCTTATAAATATCAACGTTCATCCTACAAAGTCCCATCACAAGGGAGAAACACAAACAAATAGACATTGTTTTGCCCGGATTGAAACGGCTGTACACCGTATGGACCTGCAAACGCAATTCCCCTGTACAAGAACACGTGGGTAGTAAACCGCGTGGGTTGACAGCCGTGCGTCCTTGTTGAATCGTTCCACGGCCATATTCTCTCATTCCAGGCTACAATGTTTTACTTTTCAGACACTCGCGCATTTGCGACCGCTGGTGGCGACCAGCAGCAGCAGGACTCACCTGGTGCGGAATTGGGAGTTCAGACGCCGCCTCATTCAGCATCGCTCCCACCAACAACATTAAGAGGCACAAGTGCAGCCCCATAGCTGCGAATGGTGGCAAACCCAGCGACGACCACTCGCTTTATACACACGCACACATGCGTGTGCGTGTGTGCGTGGGGGGGGGGGGTCACTGTGGGGGTGCTGGAAGCGTGTGTGGATGGGGGGTGCTGTGTGAGATGTGGGGAGTGTGTGTGCGTGTGCATAGGAGTTGGTCAAACAACAAAGACAAAGATCCCCCGTATAGTCTGGAACTGACTGTTGGGACAATTGCTGTTAGCGAGCACCTATGAAGGGCCTGCATGGCATACGAGGGGGTGGGTGACCAGAACCACGCGCGGCCGCCTTTGTCTCCCCAGTTGCGATGAGCGTTGAGCGGGAATCAAACTCGGGTGGCTGGATTCAAAATTCAGCACACTAACCCCAACACTGCCGCTCCACGGTAGGCACACACGACATAGACAAATTTCCCCCGTATAGCCTTAACAGAGTGTCGGGGCAAGTGCTGTTAGCGAGCACTTATGAAGGACCGGAACGGCACACGAGGGGGTGATTGGCCAGCACTACGCCTGGCCGTCTTTGTCTCCCCTGTGGCGATGTTTACGACACTAGGGTGTTAACGAGGACACTTTCACATCATATTACACCCGTTTTGGCCTCCATGCACTGGCTTCCAACTTCACATCGAATACAGTTTATCATCCTATTAACTTACAAAGAAGTGAACCATCTTGCACCAGCCTACATCATTGACATGCTGCACCCCCATACGACCCCTCAAGGTCCCTAAGATCTTGAGATGCAGATCTTCTCTGCATTCGCATGTCGAGGTTCGGTCTATGGGTGACAGAGTTTTTCTCGCGTGTAGCCCCCAGGCTGATATCTCGCTCGTCCGCGGGATATCAGCGATCTCTGAGTCTGTGGACATTTGTAAAATGCGCCTTAAAACCTATTTATACGCTTCCGCTTATTAAAGGTTTAGTTCATTTAGGAAATGCTTCTTAAAATATATTTATATTATTTTTATGCTGAGTGCTGCTGCTGTGTCCTGTACAGCGCTTTGAGATCCTTGATGAAAAGCGCGACATGAAACTAATTATTATTACACGCCGGTTCAGATAATCGTCACGAGTGTTGATGGCATTGGACTCGGGATACTGGGTTTGTAGCGCAGCGCGTTAACCCCAGCACTGCCGCTCTACAGCAGCACACACACCACACATACAGCCACACACACTACACACAGCCACACACACTACACATACAGCCACACACACTACAAACAGCCACACACACTACACATACAGCCACACACACTACACATACAGCCACACACACTACACACACAGCCACACAAACTACACACACAGCCACACACACTACACACAGCAGCACACACACTACACACAGAAGCACACACACTACACACAGCCACACACACTGCACACAGCAGCACACACACTACACACAGCCACACCCACTACAAATACACACAGCCACACACACTATACACACACACACAGCCACACACACTACACACAGCAGCACACACACTACAGACAACCACACACACTACACACAGCAGCACACACACTACACACAGCCACACACACTACACACAGCAGCACACACACTACATACAGCAGCACACACAGCCACAAACAGCAGCACACACAGCCACACACACTGCACACAGCAGCACACACACTACAACAACAACAACCGCCATTCGCCACTAAGTGGCGGTGACGTCACCACGACGCTTGTGCCAGGCTATGTGCACCCTGAGGCCACGTGAAGTGTCGAACGCCCGCTGGCAGGAGGTCACGGGGCAGACCCAGGTGCCACGGGTCGACTGACTGAGATGACTGGCTGATGCACCACCTGTGCCCCCTACTGTGCCAACCTGCTGTGCTTTAGCCACCCGGCGCTCCGCTCGTTGTTCTGAGCGTCGCTCCTCCGCCCTCCGTTGTTGTTGGAGGGCGACTACCTCCAACTGCCCAGTAGCATCCTTCACGAGCCTCCTCCATAGAGGCCGATCTTGACACCGCTGGTACCAGTCATCGGCAAGTCCACTCAGCTCCACGTCCTCCTGTACCACATCACTCCATCTCTTCTCTAGCTCGTGCCGCGCCCGCTTAGCCCCCTCAATCCGGCCAAACAAAAGCTGTTTCGGCATGCGGTGGCTGGGCATGCGGGCTACATGACCCAGCCATCACAGCCTTGCCTGCCGGAGGAGCTCACCGATGGGACCCTGCCCAGATCTTTCAAGGATTTGTGAGCTCCTCACACAATCCAGTCTGGTTAAACCCAGGATGGATCGTAGGCAGGCCAGCCTAAATGTTTCTAACCGGCGAAGATGTTCCATTAGGGGGGTCCACGTTTCGCAAGCGTAGAGAAGGGAGGGAATGACCGTGGCCGAGAAGACCTGAAGCTTAGTGCGGAGCGACAGACCAGGTAGCTTCCACACAGCATTACGCAACCGATGAAAAGATATTGCCGCTCGACTGATTCGGAGTGAGACCTCTGCTGTTAAACTGGAGCCAGTCATAAGCACACTGCCCAGGTATGGGAAACTCTCCACTCTCTCCACAACTGCCCCATCACCGATTGGGAGTTGTGGGGGTGGAGTGTCCGATGGTACAAAATACCCAGGCAGGTGCTTAGTTTTGGTGGGGCTGATGGTAAGGCCCCACCTCTTAGTGGCACGCTCCAGTCTCAGAAGCAGCGTCTCCAACTCCTCCTCTGACTGAGCAGCTATTACCAAATCATCAGCATACATAACGTGGTTGAGCAATAGGGAGCCATCCCTTGACCGCACCCGGGCATCGAATAGCCTCCCATTATATCTGTACCATATGGAGATTCCCGCGGTACAGCTATTGAAGGCTTCACGAACTACGTGGTCAAAATAGATGTTAAATCAAGTGGGAGCCAGAGGACATCCCTGTCGCACCCCAAGGTGTACAGGGAATGGCTCTGACTCCCGGCCACGTAGTTTTACCTGGGCCCGCTCACCATCAGGAAGGTCCTTAATGATCGTGAGCAGAGGGTCAGGTACTCCAAAAGCACGAAGAACGACCCAGAGCCCAGGCCTACTGATGGTATCATAGGCCTTAACCAGGTCAATAAAGCAGAGATGTAGGTCTTGTTGGAATTCCCTACACCTCTGCTGTAGCAGACGGACAGAAAATATGGCATCTGTGCAGGACCGCCCTTTCCTGAAACCGCATTGGGGCTCCGCAAGCCTCTCCTCAGCGTGCCTGGCAAGGCGATGCTGAATAATCCTTGCCAGGACCTTTCCCGGCACACTGAGGAGTGAGATGCCCCTGTAGTTGTTACAGTCTGTGCGGTCCCCCTTCTTAAAAAGGGGGACCACCAGGGCATCCTTCCAATCCTGCGGAACCCGTCCAGTGGTCCAGACTGTTGTTATGATGTCATATAGGGCAGTCTGTGCACAAACGCCACCCTCCCTCAGCATTTCTCTTGGAAGATCATCTCTGCCCGCTGCCTTTCCTGGGCTCAGACTCCGGATCACCTTCAATACTTCCTCAGCAGATGGCACCTCAGCCAGCCACTCACAGGGGGTGACTTCTTCCAATATTTGAGGCACCGCAGCCTCAGCAGGGTCATCCTCACTTTGTGCCACGATGTTTTCCTGGCTGAGGGATTTTCCCTCCCCCAGGCCCTCACAGAAATGCTCAGCAAATCTGCGAACCTGTTCCTGGGGGTCGGAGATTGGATCACCGTTTTTTCCCCTAATTATGGTAATAGGTGTGGAGCTGCAGGTTACTTTTTTGATGGTGTTAAATAGAGATTTGTGATCACGGGCCACTGAGGCAGACTCCATCTCCTCAGCAACCCGCGACCACCACCCATCATTGCAGCGCCTCACGGCTCTCCGAACCTCCGAGCGAAGGCTGCGGTAAGCCTCCTCATTCTCTGACGTGGGATTCTGTAGCCGATGACAGTGGGCCTGTCGCTTTTTCTCAACCATCCTGAACACCTCCTCTGTCAGCCAGGGTCTCTGGGGAGGTCTGGACCGCGTACCCAAAGCAGCTATTGCAGCTGCATGAGTCACAGTCCTAAACCTCGCCCATTTACCCTCAACATCAGGAGGAGTCGGGGACGATGCCAATCCCAGCCGCAAGCGATGATGAAATTCTCGCTTGCAACTTTCATTAGATAACTGAGACCAGGCCACTTTATGTTGGAATGGGGTCCTGGGTGTACACCCACCACCGGAGTGGAAGAATGGCAGGCGCATCTTACAGATGACTAGTCGATGGTCAGAGGGCAGATCAGCTCCACGGTAGGTCCTGGTGTCAAGGACATGGGCTCGCATTCGCTGGTCCGTCACTATGTAGTCCAGCAGATGTTCTTGCTTGGACCCGGCATGCATCCATGATGTTGTGTGGATACGCCGATGCCGGAACAGCGTGTTGGTAATTACAAGCCCATGGGCTGCACAAAAATCTAGCAGCCTCCTACCGTTGTTATTGAGCTGATCTGGCCCATGCCCTCCAATCCCTCCAGACCAGGTGCCAGTATCATGACCAACTCGGGCATTGAAGTCACCCAACATGATGACTCTATCCCGAGGGGCCACTTTAGCCAGCACCTGTGACAGGAGGTCATAGAAGGCATCTGACTCATCGGCTTTGCCTGCATCCCTCCACGGATGTTCATCTTCGGTGGGGGCATAAGTAACCACGACCACCATTCCTCTCCTCCGGTTGATGGGAAGGCGAGCCCAAAGTAGCCTGGGGCTTACAGCTTCCCACACCTCACCGCCACGCTCCCACGCCCCCTTCATTCTTTTGTTCAAAAGAAGACCCACACCCTGTTGTTTGGCAGTCTGCTGCCCCGAGTAGAGGACTGTCCACCCCTGATGGTGGCAAGAGCCAGAGCCGGTCCACCGGACCTCCTGAATGCCGCATAGATCCAGGCGGTACCGGTCCAGCTCCCCACAGAGGAGTGGCAGCCTCTCCTCTGCAGTGAGTGTTCGAACATTCCACGTGGCCACCCGTAGTGGCTTTTCGTTGTATCTGGAGTAGCCCCGAGGGTAG